CGAATAGTCCTTATATTTGATATAATAATAATCCTTGTATTTGATATAATAATAGTCCTTGTATTTGATATAATAATAGTCCTTGTATTTGATATAATAATAATCCTTGTATTTGATATAATAATAATCCTTGTATTTGATATAATAATAATCCTTGTATTTGATATTGCGCCTTATCGAGTCTTCGAGACGTCTCAAAGCGCTTCACAGGATATACTATAAAGTGAATTAACTGTATATTTTGTGGGTGAAACACAGCAGCCAATTGCGCACAGCGACGTCTCACAAACAAGTCTTAGGTTGAGCGACCAATTTATTATTATTTTTGAAGGAATTATTACCCCCAGAAAAGCGATCCACCAATCGAGTAACGACCGGGTTCCTCACTGCTGGTAAACAGAGGCGGGTGTGTGGAGTAAGGAAACTGACTCACCTGGGAATCGAACCCAGGTTTAGTGCCCAACCACTGAGCTACAGGACTCCACTTCTACCCATTATGTAGAAACCCATTCAACCAACTGTGCTCAAAAGATGACGTGTGTTGATCAGATATAATAATAATAATAATAATCCTTGCATTTGATGTAGCGCTTTTCACGTCGGGAGGACGTCTCAAAGCGCTTCACAGAACACACTGTAAAGTGAATTGACTGTATATTTGTGGGCGAATGTGACAGCCAATTGCGCACAGCAATGTCCCCCAAACAGTCGTGGATTGAAAATGACCAATTTATTATTGTTTTTGGTTTTGGAGGGATTATTATTAGGCTCTGTGTGGAGTCAGGAAACTTGCCCGAGGTTTGGCCCTGACTGACCCCCCGGGGATTGAACTCAGGTCTCTCACTTGCAAAGTGAGTGCTTTAACCACTGAGCTACAGAACTCCGTGAGATACGCTTACAATGGAGTGTACACCTGTACAACAACAACAACTTACACTTACACAGCGCCTTTCATGCAGGGTAGTGCCCAGAGTGTTTCAGAGAGTTTCACATTGCAACACAGGCTGACAACGAGCCAAGGGCAGGGGTGGGGGGGGGGGGGGGGTGACTGTAAACATGATCAAAATGGAAGGTCTTTAGGTGGGGAGAGAGGGAGGGGGCAAGACAGAGGGAAGGTGGGGAGAGAGGGAGGGGGCAAGGCAGAGGGAAGGAGGGGAGAGAGGGAGGGGGTAAGGCGGAGGGAAGGTGGGAGAGAGGGAGGGGCAAGGCAGAGGGAAGGAGGGGAGAGAGGGAGGGGGCAAGGCAGAGGGAAGGAGGGGAGAGAGGAAGGGGGTAAGGCGGAGGGAAGGTGGGGAGAGAGGGAGGGGGCAAGGCAGAGGGAAGGAGGGGAGAGAGGGAGGGGGTAAGGCGGAGGGAAGGTGGGGAGAGAGGGAGGGGGCAAGGCAGAGGGACCCTGCTCTCTCTCTCTCCCCATCGTGTCTGTGCTGGGGCTCACTCCCCCACTGGAGCTCTCTACTCTAACCCCATTCCCTGCTCTCTCTCTCTCTCTCTCCCATCGTGTCTGTGCTGGGGCTCACTCCCCCACTGGGCTCTCTCCTCTAACCCCATTCCCTGCTCTCTCTCTCTCTCTCTCCCCATCGTGTCTGTGCTGGAGCTCACTCCCCACTGGGGCTCTCTCCTCTAACCCATTCCCTCTCTCTCTCTCTCTCTCTCTCCATCGTGTCTGTGCTGGGGCTCACTCCCCCACTGGGGCTCTCTCCTCTAACCCCATTCCCAGCTCTCTCTCTCTCTCTCTCTCTCTTTCCCCATCGTGTCTGTGCTGGGGCTCTCTCCCCCACTGGGGCTCTCTCCTCTAACCCCATTCCCTGCTCTCTCTCTCTCTCTCTCCCATCGTGTCTGTGCTGGGGCTCACTCCCCACTGGGGCTCTCTCTTCTCACCCATCCCTGCTGTGTTCTGTCATGTCTGTGCTGGTGGTCTCCGAGACCGTATCTTAGTGAAAGGCTCTGTAAGTTCACCTTATTGTTGCACAGTGTTTGAAACTGGACTGACACATCCACAGAGCATGTGGAGTCGGGGAAAATAGCAGAATGGATAGCAATCTGCTGCAAAACAGACAGCAGAGAGTAGGGGTAAGGGCAGCGGCTCAGACTGGCAGGGGGTGGGCAGTGGGGTTCCACAAGGATGGGGATTGGGATCCACTGTTGTTCACAATATACATTAATGATTTGGACTCGTGAATCAGAAGGACAATTTCAATATTTGCGGACGAGACCAGATCGGGGGGAATAGTATCCAGAGGAGGACGGTCACACATTACAGCAAAACATTAATAAACTTGCTGAGTGGGCACTTAAATGGCAAATGCATTTCAATGCATCATCGAGACGTCTCAAAGCTTCACAGAATATACTGTAAAGCCAATTGACTATATTTTGGGGCGAAACACGGCGCCAATTGCACCAGCGACGTCCCACAAACAGTCTGGATTGATGGACCAAATTATTATTTTAAAAAAGGTATTATTACCCCAGAAAAGCGATCTGCCAATCGACTAACAGCCGGGTTCCTACTTACTGCTGGTAAACAATGTGTGTGTGTGTGTGTGTGTGTGTGTGTGTGTGTGTGGGTGGTGTCAGGAAAAATGTTCTCCTCGCCCAGGAATCGAACCCGAATCCTCTCGCATGCAAAGCAAGTGCTCTAACCACTGAGCAACAGGACCATAGACAGATGATTTGGGAGATTAGGAGGAACTGCTGTACACAGAGGGCAGTGGGAATGAGGAAGCTGTGGTCTCGCCCTAACCTCAGGTCTCTGACTTGCGAGGCGAGTGCTCTCACCACTGAGCTTCAGGACTCCACAAACAAAAATAATCCTTGCATTTGATATATCACGAAACCTCGGGCAAGTTTCCTTACTCCACACAGAGCCTAATAATAATCCTCCAAAACCAAAACCAATAATAAATTGGTCATTTTCAATCCGCGACTGTTTGTGGGACATTGCTGTGCGCAATTGGCCGCCGCGTTCGCCCACAAATATACAGTCAATTCACTTTACAGTGTGTTCTGTGAAGCGCTTTGGGACGTCCTCCCGACGTGAAAAGCGCTATATCAAATGCAAGGATTATTATTATTATTATTATTATTATCACCTTATCACATCATCGAGACGTCTCAAAGCCCTTCACAGATTGTACTGCAAAGTGAATTGACTGTATATTTTGTGGGCGACACACAGCAGCCAATTGCACACAGTGACGTCCCCACAAACAGCCTGGACTGAGTGACACATTTTTTATTTCTTTTTGAAGGAATTACTTCCCCCAGAAAAGCAATTTGCCAATCGACTAACAGCCGGGTTCCTACTAACTGCTGGTTAAACAGAGGCGCGTGTGTGGAGGAAGGAAACTTGCCCAACATTTAGTCCTACCAGGAATCAAACCCTACTCTAACCGCTGAGCTACAGGACTCCACAGTCCATATACCAGCGATGGAAAGATAACAGCGAAGGTTTACTCCGATTGTACCAGTGCTGGTTGGCGACTGGTATTAGGGCAGACGGGAGAGGTTGGGCTGTTTTTTGCCAGAGAAGAATCACTCAAGAGAGGGCCTAATGGAGGTGTTTACAATTATAAAAGGGTTTGATAAAGTCAGCATAAATAGGCAACTGCAACTTGTTGGGGAGTCTGTAACCAGGAGACGGACACAAGTGTATATTAGCGCCAAAGGGATGTCAACCAGAATAGGAGGAACTCCTTCACCCAGAGAACGGTGACAATCTGGAGCACTGCCTGAGTCAGAGGGAGAAGTGGGAGGATTGTGTGTCTACTGTGGGGTATAAACACTGGCACAGACTCGTTGGGCTGAAGGCCCATCTCCACACCGTACAGTCCAGTAAATCTATGTAAATAACCATTTACTTAACCTTCTGTTTAACTCTCCCCCAGTTTATGCCCCCGTTGGGTTCTATTCTATAGTGCAATGAGCTTTTATTATCATTAGCGTAGAGTCCTGTAGCTCAGTGGTTAGAGCACTTGTCTCGCAAGCGAGAGACCTGGGTTTGATTCCCAGCAGAGAGAAATGTTGGTCAAGTTTCCTCACTCCACACGTCTCTGTTTACCGAACAGTAAGTAGGAACCCGGTTGTTAGTCGAATGTCGGATCTCTTTTCAGGGGTTAATAAAACAATCGTTCACTTCAAGCCACGTCTGTTTGTGGGGACGATGCTGTACGCAATGGGCTGCCACGTTTCGCCCACAGATTATACTGTCAATTCACTTTACCGTATATTCTGTGAAGCGTTTTGAGATGTTTTCTATGACGTGATAAGGCGCTGTGTCAAACGCAATGATTATTATTATTGCTATCTATCTCAGAGGCCTTTTTTTTAAGATAATTAAAAGTAATCAAAACTGATTTAATGCTCATTGTCTGTGGACAGGACTCCGGCCTTAGGGAATGTCAGAATCGAGCCCCCCCTCTATGACGGTCTCTGGTCCGGTCCCTGAGCCAGGAGGGTCCACAGTATCCCAGGGAACCGGTGATGACAGCACAGCCCGGCCTGGCTCATCAGCAGGACCTGGGGCAGACCAGTCACTGGGGGCAGGGAATCCTCCCCCTCAGCTCCTGTTAACACAGCAGCCAAAGCCCTGACTAACGGGGAGGGTGGTCCTCGCTGGACAAGGGAGGGGGGGGGAGGCGGAGGGACTGTGGGATGGAGTTGCAGAGGGTGGGGCAGAGTGGCAGAAGGCAGAGCGCCCGCCAACAGTGGGCAGGAAATCAGGCCATCTATTATATAGAATCATGGAGGCGGGGAACGAGAAGCAGACCACAGCGCACTGAGCGGAGGGAGTGGACAGGATGGTGGGGGATTAGGAGGTGGCAGAGGTCGGGGGGAGCAAGACCATGGGGGGCTGTGAAAGTGAGGACCAGGATCTTCAACTGTCTCCTCTGGGGGAGGGGAAGCCGGTGGGGTCAGTGGATTACAAGTTAATTGGTGAGTTTCAGGAGAGAAAACAGTGTTTCCATCACATGACAAACAGTGCGATCAAAGCTCGAACATTAATGCTCTCCAACAATTGTTTTACTCACTTTGTTCTTTGCTCTTTGCACATTGTTCCTGTTCTCATACACGTTGGGAGCAGCAACTGTAAGAATAGGTGTCAAGTCATCCAAACTCTGCAGCTCATGTCCTCCCCCGGACCAGGCTCCGTGACCCCATCACCCCCACCCTCGTCCGGCTCCACTGGATCCCCATCACTGAGAGGACAGAGATCAACATCCTCATCCTCACCTTCAAAGCCCTCCATGGCCTTCCCTCTTGCTACCTCTGCCCTGCTAACCCCTTACCAACCTGTCCCCTCCCTCCGCTCAGTGGGCTCCGACCTGCTTCACATCCTCCGCTGACCACCCCACCATCGACGGTCGGGCTCCAGCCTCTCTGCCCCCACCTTCTGGAACTCCATCCCACAGTCCCTCTGTCTCACCCCCTCACTTGCCTCCTTCATGGCCCGTCTCAAGTCCCTCTTCTTCAGCCGACCATGACTTTGGGCCGTCCTCCCACCCTCCCTTACCCCAACCCCCACCCACTCCCTGAGTCCAAATCCCTGACTGTCCCGAGTCCTGGGAGGTCCTCGCGATGTGAAGTGCCATCGTGTGTAAATGTTGTGTTGTATGTATCGGGTGGAACAGGAAGCAGTCTCTCTCGTCAGGAAGGGGGTTAGGACTCGGGCCCAGGGATTGGAGAGACAGGAGGGTGATCTGATCACAGTGGTTTATCTCACACAGAGCAAAGCTGAACCAGACATCCGTAACACACAGAGAGCTGTGCTTTGTGTTGGGTTGAATGGAGATGCTATTTGCTTTGGGAAATGGATGTTGACTTGAATCAATAGACACTTTTGTTACAAAAGACGGAATTTCTGTCTGTGAATCTTGGCTTTGACCAACAATTATACACCACTTTCTCTCTTCAGTGAGTTCTGGAGAATATTCCTCAAACATACCTGTCAGGTTGCTGTCCTCTGAAGATTGTGGTCCTATACTCTGTTAAAGTCAAGAGAGAACTTGTTTCAATTGCCTTTTTTTAGTATAAGCTCAGAATCATAGAAAGTACAGCACAGACAATGGGGCACATTGAGGTTTTGTTGGTAATTTTGCCAGTTTTTCTGTCCTCATTTCGTGGCCAACAATCCCCCAAATAGAATTGGTCCTTCACTTCGTGGCTGTGTGTGAGACATTGCTGATTTATTATTATGTCTCAAGGAATGAAATAAACCGTCTCACCTCATATGGACGATCTGGGACCTCATTATCCTGTAAGAACATGAAATATAAAGTTTTTAGAACATAATTATGTTCAGGCAGTTGATTATCCAGTCAATAATTTGAGTCAGTTGGCGAGTTTCAGGGGAGTTAACAGCTGCTCACTTCATGCCACAGACAGTGAGATGGAACCATGTTGACCAGAGGTTGTTTTAGTAACTATCCTGACCTGGTTCCCCATATGGCTGGACTCATTCTGGTAGATTGTTCGTGCCTCATTGCGTGTTGAAGAGATTCCTGTTGTGAGAATGACACCATTATCTAATTTACCCTCTCATCACAGGTTCATATATTTTTCATACCCGGTATCATCCATTGACATTGCCTCTCCAGGTCGAGGATATTCTTTCCTCAATGGGGAGCGGAAAACCCCATCAGATGGATCACCTTAGGACCGAGATCTCGTTTGTGCTCTCTGAGCCTCTGAGCACTTCGAATAGTCCTTATATTTGATATAATAATAATCCTTGTATTTGATATAATAATAGTCCTTGTATTTGATATAATAATAGTCCTTGTATTTGATATAATAATAGTCCTTGTATTTGATATAATAATAGTCCTTGTATTTGATATAATAATAGTCCTTGTATTTGATATAATAATAGTCCTTGTATCTGATATAATCATATCATAGAATCATAGAATCGTACAGCACAAAAAGAGGCCATTCGGCCCATCGAGTCTGTGCGGCTCTTTGAATAGAGCAATTAATGTCAATCCCACTTCCCGGCCCTTTCCCCATAACCTGCAAACCCGTTCTCCTCAAATACCCGTCCACCGCGTTTTTAAAAGTAGTTATTGAATCGCATATAATAATCCTTGGATTTGATACACTTATATGTCACCGCAAATAAAAGTGATGTAGTTACCGGGATCTCCAGCAGAATGCCTACGCTTTCTATAGACAACAGCAATCAGGAGAATGATGATCACAAACAATATAACCCCGAGAGTGATGGCTGCGATGGTGGCGCTCTGATCCTGAGCACCAACAGAATCTGGAGGGGAAAGTCAACAGATGTTAATGTTCATACAATGCCCTTCACATGGGTTATCATAATAATCGTTAATAATCCTTAATACAGCGCCTTATCAAATCTTCGAGAGTCTCAAAGCGCTTCACAGAATACCCTGTAAAGTGTAGTGACTGTATATTTTGTGGGAAAAACGCAGCAGCCAATTACGCACAGCAACGTCCCACAAACAGTCGTGGATTGAGTGACCAATTTTTATTTTCTTTTGGAGACATTATTATCCACGGAAAAACGATCTACCAATCGACTAACAACCGACTTCCTACTTACTGCTGCTATCAAAGGTGTGTGTGTTCTGCCTAATGTTTCACCCTGACCCGCCCGGGAATCGAACCCAGTTCCTCTCGCTTGCGAGGCGAGAGCTCTAACTGCTGAGCTACAGGGCTCCAAGTGTAACTCCCACGGTCAGTCGGGCTTATTTGATCAATGGTGAGCTGTGGAGTTGTGTGTGACAGAACGGTGCCATTAAATATCCATTTATACTGAGCTTCTGGGTTTGACTGAGCAGAACAAGACAATGTTAGAGAGTCTCCAAGTTCTGCTGAGTGTGTCCCAGTGATTGTAAGCTCAGGGGTGTCTGGTCCATCTGCAACAGACGCAAGAACGGCTTCTTTATTACCACTGAATGTAAAGCATAAGATTGAAGCCTTATTCTGAGAGGTGACTGAGTACTTACACGCAATGCTCAGTGTGTGGCTGCCGGACACAGAGCTAAAGCTGTTCTTTGCCTCACACCGATACGTTCCACCATCATTTCTAGTCACACTGATGATGGTCAGGGTGGCATTATCCTGGGAGATTGTGATCCTGTCATTGCTGTGGAGAGCTCTCTCATCCTTAAACCACAACCGTGACTCAACAGTGCCTTTAACATCACATGTCAGTGTCACAGTGTCAGTGTATTCTATCGGGTTGGGAATGTTCTGTGTTACGGTGACGCTGGTGATTTTTTCTGCAAATAAAATGATAATAGAATCATACAATTATAAACCAGTGGTTGCGCTGAACTTTTTGACAAAGTTATTCTTTTGGTTTCTGTTTTAATAGTACTGTAGCTCAGTGGTTAGAGCACTCGCCTCACAAGTGAGAGACCTGGGTTCGATTCCTGGGCAGAGCGAAATGTTGGGCAGTTTCCTGACTCCACACACACTCACACACACCTCTGTTTATCCATCAGTGAGTAGAAACCCGGTTGTTAGTCGATCGGTGGATCAATTTTCCGGGGGTAATAATTCCTTCAAATAATAATACAATAATTTGGTCACTTCAATCCATGACTGTTTGTGGGACACTGCTGTGCGCATTTGGCTGCCGTGTTTCGTCCACAATATATTCAGTCACTACACTTTACAGTATATTCTGTGAAGCGCTTTGAGACGTCTCGAAGACGTGATAAGGCACTGTATCAAATACAAGGATGATTATAGTATCATGATCTGTTTGCCACATACCCAAGGACTGACACAGCGGACCTTTATCAGGAGAATTCTAACCCCATCAGAAGGCATTGCTGGAGTCCATAACACTGTAATCTGCCTCATAGCGCAGTGTGATCAGCAGTGGCTGCTCGTCAGTGATGACATGACGGTGACTGCTTGGATTCCTGAACCACAAACAGCCCAACTTCAGGGTCACCACTTCAGTTTGCATCAGCTGCTGTACATGTTTGTTATGTGCGAAGCCTTCCTTTCTTGTGCTGAAGACAATCCATGTCTTGGAAGTAAATTCCATATTATAACAGGACTCCCTTAAAGAGAGTTCCACAATGTCATTGGTATCAATCCTTTTCACTTTGCTGTAATAATCAATAACCACATTCAGCGAACTGACCGTCCCGAATACTGATCCAAGAATAATACTGAAGGAACTAATAGTGACTCAACCCTTAGACTAATAATAATAATCAGTGCATTTGAAATAGAGCTTTTCACGTCTTCCAGACATCTCAAAGCTCTTCACAGAATACACTGTAAAGTGAATTGACTGTATATTTGTGGGCGAAACGAGGCAACCAATTTTGCACAGCAGTGTCCCACAAACATTGAATCACCAAATAATATATTTTTTTCTTGAGGGATTATTGTCAGGCGTGTGGAGTAAGGACACTTTCACCCTTCCAGGAATCAAACCCCGGTCTCTCACTTGCAAGGCGAGTGCTCTAATCACTGAGCTCCAGGATTCCCTGCAGGACTGACCTAAAACTGACCTGTCTCTAATACTGACCAGCGTCCGACCCTTATACTGAACAACATAAGGTTCGGATGAGACATTAAATCCTGCCTTCTGTCCAGATGGACGTTAATAATAATCCTTGCATTTGATATAGCTCCTTATCATGAATTCGAGACGTCTCAGAGCACTGGGCGAAACGTGGCAACCAATTGCACACAGCAGTGTCCCACAAACAGTCATGGATTGAATGATAAATGTATTATTTGTTTGTGTCCCTGAACAATATAGTGTGTCAGCCCGGCTCAATTAGTGGCACTCTCACACATGAATCAGAAGGTTGTAGTTTCAAGCCATTGTAAGGACAATGTAAGGAATTATTACCCCCAGAAAAGCAATCCGCCAATTGACTAATAACCAGGTTCCTACTTACTGCGAAGGTAAATAGAGGTGTGTGGAGTAACGAAACGTTTCACCTGCCGGGAATCAAACCCCGGTCTCTCACTTGCGAGGCGAGCGCTCTAACCCCTGAGCTACAGGACCCCACTATCCTGGTGTCCAGGGTGACAATCCTACAAATAAAATTAACCCCTCACTCTGAGGCAGTTGGCGGGGAGATTGCTGTTTGCAAAGTTGACTATCATATTTGCCCAGAAAATACACCAAGCGACATCACTTCACAGTATCCTATGAAGTGCTTTGATGGGTCGGTGATGTGATAAAGTGCCATATCAAATGCAAGGATTATTCTCGTTATTATAATGAATTAAGCCCCTTGATAATTCAGAAGAATGGGTCATGGATTATATTATTTTAAACCACCTCTCTGGCTTTCCTCCACCCAATCCCATCTCTCCCCCATGCTCGCGTCCTGACCCCTGACTGTCCAGCGCCTTGGGAGATCCTCCCGACGTGAAAGGCTCTCTATAAATGTAATTTTGATGTTGCTTTACTTTGAGATAGACCATCATAGCCTTTCCAGTCCTGCACATTCTTACATACATGGAATTTATAAAAAGAGTATTGAAAGGGAGATAAAGAGAGCATGTGGGGTTGATTCACTCCCTTCTGTTTTAACTTCTTGAGATTGTTAACTATTGTTAACTATCACATAATATTCTTTCTCCTTAAAAATACCTGTTGAACTCTCTAAATATTCACTTTTGACAGTAAAGTTGCAACTTAGTTGGGAAGAAAAATGGCAGAGAAGCAGCACTGCTTGTAGTTTAACTGTAAATTAAAAATGGCATAAAATTATAGGTACATTTTATGACGTAAAACAACAAATTTTACGTCACAAGGTCAATCCGGTAGCCAGGAATCTCTGCTCCTGTTATTTTCTTTAAATTTTCACAAAATCAAACGCAAGACTTACCCATCAACACTCAGTACAGTTAAACGTTTGGCAAACTTTAAAATAACACATTTCTCAGCATCAAATGAACAAGTGGTAATCTTACATTTGATATAGTCTTTCATGTCAGGAGGAAGTCTCAAAGTGCTTCATAGGATTTACTGTGTATTTATAGTCAAACGCAGCAGCCAAATTGCTGCTGTCCCACAAACAGTCACAAAACTATTTTATTTGAGGGATTGTTGGTCAGGAAATCCACATTAGGGTTCCATGTTCAGCCAGTTTTTGGGACATCCTTCTGACGTGAAAGTAACTGTATAAGTGTAAATTGTATTGTAAATTGTACTATGATTGTAAATTGGCAATTTGGTAATTTAGTGAGTCCTGTAGCTGAGTGGTTAGAGCACTCGCCTCGCAAGCGATAGACCTGGGTTTGATTCCCGGGCAGTGTGAAACGTTGGGCAAGTCTCCTTGCTCCACATGTCTCTGTTTACTCAGCAGTAAATAGGAACCCGGTTGTTAGCCGAGAGGCAGATCGTTTTTCCGGGGGTAATAATTCCTTAAAAAAAATCATAAATTGGTCACATCAATCCACGACTGTTTGTGGGACATTGTTGTGTGCAATTGTCTGCCACATCAACCACAAAATATACATTCAATTCACTTCACAGTGTATCCTGTGAAGTGCTTTGAGTTGTCTCGAAGACGTGATATGGCGATATATCAAATACAAGGATTAATATTATTATTAAATCCCAACGAGCGCTATCATGGGATCCAGTCACTAGTCAGTGCTTATTCATTGTGTATTGTGCATTCATTGCACATGAACACAGAAGAGAAAATGACAGTTAGTTTGTGGCGAAGCAAAACTGCCTACTTCTGGGTCTCAGTCAATGTCACTTCTTGCATTCGCTCCCCTCACCATTTTCCCCCCAATGCTCGGGTCCTGACCCAACTGTCCAGCGCTTTGGGACGTCCTCTCAACGTGAAAGGCGCTCTATAAATGGAATCTTGTTGTTGTTGTTGTTGTTACCCACCACTGTTGGATCCTCTCAAGTGCTGACGGAGCTTTGGTTTCCACATTCCTTCTCATTTTATCTCAGATTGCAATCTTTGTCATCTTGTTTCAGTCGTACAGCACACGCCAGGCCACTTACAGATGTTTTTAGTTAAAAGATAAAGTATAGGAAGGCTTTTACGTCAGGTAACAATACTATTTTACGTACCTATGACAAGGATTCTGATGTTTGCTGCACTATACCTTTGGGTTACACTGTTAAAGGCCTGACACGTGTAATTCCCAGCGTTCTTCAGGGTAATATTGGGAATGAGAAGGTCCGAGTCGTTTTGTAGAAAAGAGGAAGTATTGAAATACCATTGAAATTCACAAGGTGGGTTTGATTCCGCAGAACACGAGAGATTAACAGTTGATGCTGAACTAATTAATTGTAAATGTGGATTGATTGATACGTTGGGATATTCTGGTCCATCTAAAATAGATTCACAGGTTGGTTCAAACACAATCTCTACAGCGTTTTATACAACATCAACGGAGCCGATCACCATGGATCTAAAACTACCCATTGTAAACAGTCAGTGCTACGGGTGGAGGTATCTATTGGGAGAAACTAAGGTTAAAAGTAAATAAGTATAAAACGTTTGCTTCAATAGAAAGGCCACTATTCTTGTAATTATCAACTTGGCATAACAGAACCCAAAGTGTTGAACACTGTAACGTATTAAATCGAGAAGCGATATGAATCTATCGTTTTATGTGTTACTGAATTTCGAATTGGCCGAATGCTTTCATAATTTGTAACAAACTTCCCCCCGGCAAGTTTACTCCAGAAAGGGATTTCTCCATATGTTTTGTTGTAGATATGGAATAAAATAAGAAGCTGATATCCGAAAATGTGATTTCTATACTTATTACTTTAAGACCTCATTAATATCAACCACAAACAGACTGAGAAGATTATAATAAAGAGTTGTCCGTGTGCACCCACTCACCCTATAAAAGATTGATGCTAAGACCAGGTGCCCATTTAACACCACTTGACAAAAGGTCACTTTGTGCTGTTGCCTATGGGCTCCAGTGTTACAACACGTCAAAGTGACCATTAGTCAAGTATCAATGTATTGCCACCTCTATCTCAATCAAAGTACAAGTCGTGATGGTAATATCTATTTTAAACATTGACTGCACAGCAAAGCAGCTAAAGTGCCAATCGTATTCAGCGTATGTGTGTGTGAGCAGAACTTTTTCACAATTTAGTCAGGCGGGTTGGCAATTAATTGATGAAGATTAGAAACCACAAATAGTGTTTGATCGGGTGACTTACAGTTAACATTGAGTAGATAAGAATCACTTGTCTTTCCATTCATTACGTTGTACCCAAAACACGTATATTCTCCTGTGTCAGACC